ATGACGTAACTAATTTATTATGTCACGTGCTATTTACCCACGTGTCGAAGAGTGAATATAATTTAACTTCCTGTAATTTATTGTATGGCGATTGATACTCTCAATGAATTTCATCATGTCAAAACTCAGAATGGAATAAGAATACTATGCTTGGTTTTGTTAGGCACATATTGGCTGGAGATTAGATTAGTTGAATGGGACAAGATTAGATTAGATTAGAGTTAGACTAAATGAGTGAGTGAATGACACTAAAATTTCATTTTTTAACCAATTAATATCTAGCCAGCAATTATGTTTCAGTGAGAGAACCAATGGAAATGTATAATTTAAGCAAAAGTACCAGTATTTGTTAAACTTGCACAAGGTGTTTATGGTGTGATTACTCATCAATAATAATGTAGCTATTTTTTGGGAGAGTAGAATTTGCTTTGATTGATGGATGGTTTTCTTCATTTACTGGAGAAACAAATCCAAGCAGAAATAAACTCATCATCGTCACACATTTAATTAATCCATTTTATTATACGTATATAGAACATCAGCAGGATGGATGGACAATCATTGGATGAAGCATACAATATTTATTTACAAAATATTCCACGCCTGATAAAACAAAAAGCAAACATTAAAAGTGGCATATAATTTCACCATTTTAGGAGTTCGAGTACCAGCTCTTGTCATATCACCATATGTACCACAAAACATTTTCCACATTTGAAGCTTGATGATCCAAGAAATGATTGTTAGAAAAATTGCCCGATATCTATAATTGGGATGGTAAACCAATTGATGGAACGCCATCACCACCAAGTCGGCTAGAACTTTATTTAATTTATAATTGTAATAACAGTTGTATTAATATTAATAATTTAGAAAAATAACTTATTGTCCAAAATGTTATTTTTTTAATGTACAAAAATAATTATAAAAACGTTAAATAATAATTTAACCATCCATAGTTCATCAACCATTTATCAGTTTTGTAGTTTCTTTCTTCCTGACAACCTGGAAAACTTCATAATCTAGCACATCAAATTTGTTTGATTTAATGACATCAGAATCATAATAAGTAAGGTTACTAGTGCAATCTTTATTTAAATTGTTCATATTTGACATACACAAATCATTGCCACCAAAGCATGGACCCCTAATATCAGCACAAAATATAGCCATTTTAGAATTTTTTGGTATGATTCTACTAATTTTAGGATTATTATTATTTTCTTGTGCTAGTAAATTTTGCACCCTATTTGTTGTTGTTCCTGATGTTGATATTGATGACGACGATGATGCTAGTTTAAAAATAAAACTTTCGTCAGTCATAATCCAATTACCATAAAATCCACCTGTCCAACCAACAGGATTATATCCACCAATGATTTCACCTGTGATAGAATCTTTCATCACTACAACCGTTGCTCCTTTATTATCACACAAGTTGTGAAATGTTTTTGCCGTAAAGTCATCTCGACTGCCACGTAATAATAATTTGAACTTGTGAGATGGCGATCTACGATAAATTTGTTGCTTGTTGTCTTTTTTAAGAGTTGGACGATGATGAAGACTTTGATAATTTGAATTATTATTATTATTTGACTTTAATGACTTGTCATAAACTGTAGTATTGTTATTATCATTGTATTTTATATCTTTTTGATCAATCCAATCAGAAATAAGTATCGCGTGATTTAAATTAATGATGTTTGAATCGATTAAATTTTCTTCATTTTGTAAAAAATATTTTTCCAAAAATTTTTCAAAATTTTTCAATTGTCCGATTGATTTCAACTCGTTACGATTAATATTTTCAAATCTAATATTACCGATACAATTTTTCAAAATAGAATCCAATGCATCAAATTCATTCTGTGTCCAATTTGAAACACTGTCAACAACATTACCATCATTACAATTAATGTCAAGGTTGGTTACACCCCATTGAATCAAATAATCCAACAGCTTGATTTCATTCATTCTCAAATCATCACGTTTAAGTAATTGGAGAAGGATTGATTCGTTGATTGATTTGGAGATTGAAGAGTTGAAAACTATATCAGGATCATTACAAATGTTGTCGAGGCATAATTGTTGAATTTTATGACATGACTCTAGTTTGAATACTGTGTGGAATAGCAATTGCAATGGATGATTTTTAATCCAGTTGACATGATGTCTTGTAAAAAAACTGATTACAGAAGCCTCAAGTTCTTGTAATATCAATTCATTTGCTGCCGTTAATATGTCCAAAGTAAATATCGGGTCTAGTTTTTCAAGTGATATTTTACCTATATAAATATATCTATTTGGAGGTTACCAAATAATTCAACCAATCAACCAATCAACCCCAATCAACCCCAATCAATCAACCAATCAATTCTCTTCTTTGCTCACCTTAGAATTATTTGAAAAACATCAGGAGAAATATTTGGTTTTTCGAAAATAATATAATTACCACCATTGTCATCATCATCAATAATTTTCTTCCATCGCGATGATAATGCCGAATGGAAGTATGGTGATCTTGCACGTAAAATACATGAATGAGCTTTGATACAAACAGCATTGCTGTTGCTGTTGCTTGTTGATTCGCCATGACCACCACCTACTTTAATCAATACATCGTAGTCGTTAGCGTCTACTAGCAATTTTGTATCTGAAAATTCAGATGCTGTTGTTGTCATGTTTTTTATTAATTATATATGTGTGTGTGCGGGTGTGTACAAGTGTTTGTATGTGAGTGTTATATGTGATGAAATGATAATTGAAAGGAAAAGAGAGTGAGAAAAAATATTTTATTCGTAAAAAATATATAAATAATAATAATAAATAATAAATAATACTCGCCTTAAATCAATTTCTAAATCAATAATTAAATTATTGATTGATATTTAAAATTTTTTTTGATTATCTAATAACAAATAATATCACAATAAGAAACAGTTAGCTAATACTGTGTACAAGTTTAATATTAATTAAAATATGGGACAACAAAAAATTTCAGGGATCAAAAAAATTTTGGCAGTAATTTTAAGAGAGCTATTATTTATTAAAAATGATCTTCCATTAACATGCCTTTTGTTGCCATTCCCGAAGATAATAATAAAACAACTTACTTAAATAACAAACTTTCCCAAGCGCAAGGCTAATTAACTAATGAACAAGCACAAAATACTTGTTGGAGAAGCCGAGAAAACCGCAGCAGCTAATTATCCAAGACTTCCAAACCGGCCATGATTAGTTATCAACAATTAGAACAAGAATTAGCTCAATCCTAAGCCTGTCAAAGAGATTTACAAAGCCAGTTAACTACAATTTAGCATACGTAATCAGAAATGTAACTGAAAACGGATTGGTAAGAAGTCTCCATGATTTACATGAAGAGAGAACCAATAATTCCGAAGGGAATATGGACGTGAGAATTGTCGAAAGAGATGTCATCCAAATATTACCCAAGTCGAGTACGCTAATTTATTCCAAGAACGTCGTCGATAAAAGCGAAAAATAACCTCATTGTTCCCACACGGAACTTTGCAACGCGCAAGAGAAGAGAGACAATTATCAAGCGAAATATATATATTATCACCAAGAAACCATTTAAGCTAAAAAAAAAAACAAAGATTTCACACACAGTAAATTCAAGACTAATTGAATATTAAGTTGATAAATTAAATAATGAAATGCTTTACAAGGACACACAGACAATGCCATTCCAAGAAATTATGCAACAGGATAATCACTTTCGCAAATAATAAAACAAATAATTTAGCTAGTCAAGGAAGACTAGGCTCAATAATTAGCCAATATAAATTTTCTTGTGTTAAAAGATGCCAATAAAAGTTAGGGGAATTCAGCAGTAAAAGGAATTGTGACATAATTAGAATTGCCTTGTATCTATTAGTAAGATAAAATAAATTACCAAGGAAAGGAAAGTAAAGAAGAGGGAAAACAATACTAGCATTATTTCGACAGTAAGATACCAAATAAGAAAATGCAAACTGATAATGTTAGTTCCAAAATATTATTACAAGAATTAGGTAAATGCTAGTCTAATGCAAATAAAAAAATACATGCACATACGGATAGTTTTATATATTAATATTTATAAATATTAATAATAAATTAAAAAAATTACGTCGTCCAACACTAAGATCATGCAAAATGAAATTTTAAGCGACCGACTTATTTTATCTCCTTGCAAAGTTTTTGCTATGGTTTTATAAAGAATTACCAGTTGAAAAGTTATGTCTTCGGTTATTAATGACATCACCGCTTTAAATATAGTACGAGAAGTAATAAAACATCATTTGGTTTTAGAAATAACGTTGCTTTATTAAAAGTATAATTATACAGGCAAACCTCGTTTCAACGAATCTATGGTACATAATCGTACTAACCGCGTAATTTATATAGCAAAATTCGTTGAAAAGATGTTTGACTGTAATTATTTAATAAAATAATGATTTTTACTCATAAAAGGAAAGAGATATGTTTGTTTTTTTAATTCGATCAATTAAAAGAAAGGTCTCTTTGTAACAATAATTTTTTTTTTCATAAAATCAATACCTTTATTTTTTTATAAAAAAATACTAATACATTCATTATATTTTATAATATTTATTATTAAACACTTGTTTTTTTATTATCCATCTTATCTATTCCTCTTATAAAGCAAATTTCACAATCAACACGAACAAGAATAAATAAATTCAATTCAATAAAATTCAAGTTTAGTTGAAAATGATGATGGTTTAGTTGGAAGGAAGAGGGAGGATCAGAGAGAATGAATGCAATGAAGGTAATATTCGTGTTACAAGGTGAAGAAGGGAATAGCGAGGAGTAATCCCATATGTTCAATAATAGTGGTGATGAGTATATGTTCTGCTTCTTTTTTAGTCGAGTTTTTCTTGAGTTTAACTATTTGTTCATGTACCTCAATCATATTGTCTCTTTTTCCCTCGAGAAGGCAAGCCAAGCCATCAGTTTGTTTCTGTCTTGCTAATTCAGCTTGATGCTCTTTTCGTCTCATTAAAAATATCATCTTCACCTTTATCCTCACTTCTAAATTCTGCACAATTTCTTATTTGAGGATTACTAGCTGGATTTTTATCATTTTTATCCTCTTGGTCTGTGGTAGCATCTGTTATACTCTTCGTCTTTGAATAAAGTGGTAGTATATTTTTTATTCTCATCATCTTCTTTGTCTTCAGTGAAAAAAGTGGTAGCATCACGGTTTCTATTTCCATCTGTCATATAATGACACGTATCATCTGAAATTTTGACGGTATCAATAATCCATATGGAATAGTTTTTTGTTTGATCATCTTTTGCTTTAGGATTTGTTATATTTTGAAATCCAACAATTAGATTCAATACCATTCCATTTTTAAAAACCTTATTGCTATTTGAATTTAATACATATGCAGATTCATGAAACTCGGTGCCAATTCCATGACCAAGGCTTCTAACAAATTTATCTGAAAGGTCGGGTCGTTCGCTTTTTAGATGATCAAGTGCTTGGTTGTACACATTACGCAATATAACTCCATCTATACACCAATCTATTATAAGACTTTGTAACTTTAATAAAAAATCGTAATCTACCCTTTGTTCCTAAATTAAAATAAAATAGGAGAAAATTCCAAATTAATATATTTTATTACTAATCTTGGTAGGGTTAAATAATATTGTCCTACCAATATTTGAACAATATCCTTTATAACGAATACCTAATGAGCATAAAATAATATCACCTATTTGATGACATATGGCTAAGTTTTTCACTGCACAACAACTGAAAAGGAGGCACATTTTATTTTTCAGCATCGAAAGGATAATACTTTTCGACAACATTACATAGATTCTATGAAATATCCATATACACCGAAGCAATTGCATATGCTTTCCTGAAAGTGTGCTGTATTGCTTTTAGATGTGTTTACGAAGATATATCAAGCACGAAATCAGTATCCTTTGATTACTAAATCTTCATCTAATGGTATTAACTCATACAAATTACCTTCTCTGGTTTACGAAATAACCGATTGTCACCTTACAAAGGCTTTGTTACTTTCTAGGAAACCATCTACAAACATTTTTTGCGATTACATATATTGTGATTACACTAAATATACTAATTTGAATAATTGTAGTGTATATACTCATGTGTGAGCATGGTTATTACAATAATTGCCTAATCTAAATGTTTGATATCTTGGACTATAAAAATGTCAACGCGTGATTATTTTGTAAGTAATGGACGACGATTGAATTTACCAGTTAAAAAATTCCACGTGACTAAATTAACCAGTCAAATAATTTTTGTGCGGTGCCAACATCTAAACTGAACACAGACTTTCCATCCAAACGTTAACGTTAAAATAAACGTTAAATAAAACGTATCTCTTTATACATCAATTAATAATACAATGATTAACTAATTGCATATATTTATTTATTTGGCTTTATGATTTATTTTAACGGGGCCCAGAGTTTAAAAATAAATTTACAAAATAAATAAATAGTACAAATAGTACAAATAGTACAAATAGTACAAATAGTACAAATAGTACAAATAGCACAGATGCCTTCATAAATATTTGTAAAAGGAATAAGCAAAAAAAAAAGATGAATTATTATTATTAAACATTGTCATGTGAAATGCCTCTAGCAGGGTGTTTATCGGAGGTAGAAGACATTGATAATCTATCCAAAGTTCCACCACGCTCACCAAAATCATCATCATCTTTCAGCCGATTATGTTTAAGTTGTCTTCTTAATTCAGAGCTATAACTTGACACGATAGACACAAAATAGAACTATCAAATAACATGTTGATATTATGTTAATGACATTACATGTATGTATGTATGTATGTATAGAATATAATATAATGTAATAAATACCCATAGTAGCACGACAAAGATATCGACAGACAAAAGAAACACAAGATATAATTTGATAGCTTGAGTACATTTTTCTCTTAATAGAGTATCAGATTCATTCGTGGTGGTGGTGGTGGTGTTGGTGTTGGTGGTGTTGGTACTAGGATCTTGTCTTTTCTTGAAAGGTTTCGACCAATTTTCTTTTGGATCCCATTTCAAACCACTTGCATTATTAACTTGAGCCTTATGAACACACGCATCAACCATACTGCTTTGATTTTGGAAGTGAATGACAGAAGAAAGTATTACCAATCCCAAATAAATCACAATAGTCAACCCAAGAACCCAGCCAAATATTCTAACAAATCGTTGTTTACCCTAATCAATCAAATAAATCACGTTTCTTTATTCGAAAATTAATTTTTTAAAAGAATTTAAAATAAAATTGTGATTAGTTACAGTAATACCACCGTAAAGACCACCAACGGCCACAACACCCTTGAATATGTTCCAAATGCCTACGACGATACCAATAGTTTCATTGGAAAATGATGTGCCTTTAAAGCAAAAAAAAAAAAAAAAAAAAAAAAAAAAGAAACCATGTTAAGGGAATTTATCGAGAAAAGTTCGAATTTATTTAACGATTTTTTATTTACCATCAAAATTTTTAAATTCGTTATATGCACTTATAGCACTTTGAACCTAACAATAATAAAGACGACATTTTTATTTATTTTTAATCACTGTTAATAGATTTATCAACCAGTTAATTTGAATTCAAAAAGTAAGAAACTTGCCAACAAAATTATCGCAATAAGTATTGTTGCAACACGTAAACTAATGCTGTAATAATAATATTGTTGTTGTTGTTAACTGATGAAGTAAAGGATTACAATAACTTGAGAGCGAAAAAATTAAAAAGGAATCTGAAAATCTTTACCAGCAGCAACACCGCTGAGCCATAATTAAAAGTCAAAAAAAAAAAAAATCTAAATTTTTAAAAATTCAAAAATTTAAACAATTTTACCAATTGAAAAAAAAATGATAATTTAAAAAAAAGAAAGGGGAAAAGTAAAAGAAATCAAAAAAAAAAAAATCAAGGGTTCTAGATTTCTCTAATAATTCCAACAAACATCAAATTTTCATCTTTACATGATTTGTAATGTGTTTTTTAATTGTTGAAGGCTTAGCATTCATTGCTTGAAAATTACAATTAAAGATTTACTGCGCCACAGAATAATATTGCACAGCCATTATTCAATGCGTTATTATTAGTATTAGCATATCAATATTCAAAATTGGTGTCAAATAATTTTTATATATTCGAATATCTGTAATATGTCTTCGGTATCAGTAAATAACGGCATTATTTTAATTAATGATAAAGAAGAAACAATTTTTATTTTTCGTCAGAAGAGTCTATTACCAATGATGGATTTTGTATTTTGCTCACACATTACAATTAGTTGTAAATAAATCAATATAAACATTCAAGCATTTGTTTTAAGATGCAAAAGATTAATTAACTTCTTCACTATTCCTAGACAAAAAGAAAATCTTGAAAATATGCAAAAAGAATTGAGTTATCCAGATATTCATACAGTGATTCGAGATATTAGTACTAGGTGGAATCCATCATTTTATTCATGGAGAAGGTTGATTGATTTAAAAAGTGCAATTACCACATAAACTTGTAGCTGGTTTAAATAAAGATTACAAAAAAGATGGGAAAAGACTTGAACGAATCACGTTAAATGATAGTAAGTCATTAGTAAAAATGTAATATTTAGTTTTTGTATTTTTTAAAAAATAAAGTATATATATATATATATTATAATTACGATATCCAATAGTAAAAGTATTAGTATTAATTTGAAAGTATTTGAAAGTGTTAATATTTGAATTAGCATAGTGGAATTTTGTTTTTGATCGACATTCGAAATTATCACGTTACACGATTTACACATTCTTTTATTATACGGAAAATACAAAATAATTTAATATTAATTGTAAAATAATTTAACTTATAATTATATAATAAACTAAACAGTTTATTTTTTTAAAGATGCCTCGCAATCCTAATCAAGGTCCTTGCTCAGTTACTGGTTGTGAAAATTCAGGCCCTTACAGAAACTTTAATAAAACTGTTTATACAAAATCAATTAATTCTGGAACTTTTTCTAATTTTGATTATTTGATAGTTAATGAATCACAGTTATGTCTTCCTCATTATTTGCAAGTATGTGAGCCTGCCAAGGGAAAAAAATGCATTGCTTTTGTAAATAAAAATATCAATGAACAAAATAATATTTTTACCATTAAAAATTTATTAGACAATTTAAACAATCAAAATACTATGTTGATTGATGTTTCATTGAATGATATTTATGTTAATATTACTGATGACTCTATAACTATGTCTAATGATGATTTTAATTCATTGATAAACAAAATTTATCAAATGCAAAAACAAATTGAACAACAGAATGAAATAACATTAATTGAAGATGAGAAAGTGGAGCCTGAAATTGAAGAAGGTAATTGTATCCAAAATATAAAATTTATCACTCCAAGAAAACTCATTACTAATTACTATTTATCAAATAAAGTTGACAGATCATTCCCTATGCAAATTCAACGATTAACCAAAGTTATATATAAACAAAAACAAGAAAATGAAACAATGGAATTAAATCCAGAAAATTTTCAAAAATTGTTAACAGAACAAGATCCATTACTTGAAGGCTTTTTTGAAGAATTAACAAATGCATTGGTCCCTGAAAGACGTTCTACAACCAACCAAGAAGAAGCAAAAAAATCAATTGTTGGATTTTGTTATTTATTAGCTGGCCTTAGAAATAAATTTGCTAATTCTATTAAACTTGATATTGGTTTATATCTTGTATCATCTGGTACTAGTTCTATTGCAATAAATACTTTATCAAATGCTGGAATATGTGCAAACTATAAAACAATGCCAATCATAAAAAAAATTAGCAAACATTCACTCTGGATCTATAAATAATTATTTTAAATTAAATGTATAAGTAATTAATATTATATAATAAAGTAATAAGTAATATAATAATAATTTTTCCTTACTAGTTGCGTAACCTTTTGTTACTTTAAACTTCCATGCTTAAAACACCTCCTCAAAGATTATTTTTCTTCAAAAGAAAATATTATCTTTTTCACCTAAAAGAAAGTATGTACAATAATAATACAAGTGTATATAATGTATATAATTATAAGTTACTACCCAAAAGAAGTTTTTTTTATATATTAAACCAAGGTGTATATAGCAGTTTGTGTTGAAAATTTTTTTTTGTAAACAAGTTATTAATTGTATGGTAGAAGAAAATTATAACAGAAAAATAAGTTAATTTAAGAATTTGCCAAAAAAAAAAAGAATTTACAAAAATGATGTAAAAATGAATACATTTTTTGTACCAAAAAAATTTCCTTTGAGGGAGTGATCAAATTATCATTATCAATTATCAATTAATAATTGTAAGATTCTCATATTGGCTACCTGATTAGTTTCTTTCTTTCGCCCACCAGCAAATTCTATAGTTAAAGGAGTAGTAGTTCTAACAGCTAAATTATTTTCTTTTACAAAATTTTTATCAATGAAATTTCATGAAGCGCCACTGTCTAAAAGAATCCATGCATCTTTCCCATTGATTTTACCATTGAACCAAAGCAAGCTTTCTTTATTTTCTTCAAGTCGAACTAGTTCCAAATTGTTATTACTAGCAGTGTCATCTTCAATATTTTAAGTGTGGAACTTTGCAGTCTCATGAGAAATGTCCTAACCTTCCACAATTATAACATCCTTCCTTTGATGAATTACCTT